AAAAAATTAAATGATTTTTTAATTTTCTAAAAACAAATATATTTAATTTATATATTAAAAATTTTAAATTTAACGATTAGATCGTTGAAATTTGCATATTACTTATATTATATTCATCTCAACTCTTTTTTTGAAAAATCAAAATTATAAAATTAATTTATTTGTAACTAATTATTTGGTTGAATTTATATTAATATATATATTAAACACAATCTTGGAAGATAATGATACTTTTCTCATTGTTTTATTATATTTGTATACGAAAGCTGGAAGGAGATCGATCAGTGTGGGAATACCCATTTGCAGTTGCTGGTGTTAACATCACATACATGCTGATACAAATGCTTGATCTTGAAGCAGGTTTGTTTTTTCTCCTGTTATAACTTCTTTGTTCTCTGTTTTTATCATGTCTCAAATGAAGATTTGGATTGCTGCGTGTGTATGTGTGGCCAACTTTCTTTATGTATAATGTCATGTCAATTTCCAAGAGCACCCATGATGAATCTACATAAAATTTAAAGTGCCCTTTCAATTTTTGTACGTTGACATTTTACTTTTGCATAAATCGGTATAAGAAAAGTCACCTGCTATCGCCATCTGAATACATTGAATCAGCAACAGTTTTCTAATAATATGCTTTTTGCCTTTACAGTGAAGCCACGCAATCTGGTTGGAGCAACTTTTCTAAAATTTCTTGCAGGTAGCATGAACTCTCCCCTTTTAATCTGTTATTTTACTTTTCTTGAATTTGGAAGGGGATAAGGGAGGGTTGGAACTTAAGTCAAAATTAAAAAGGTTTATTTAAACGTTATAGCTTTAACTTGCTAGTTGCAGTCTTCATTTTATCCTAGCTCGCTGTTTTAAGTAACTAAATGCGTTCTTGTTTGTCTGACAGAAAATGAGTCAGCTTTTGATCTTCTCTATTGCATAACTTTCAAGCTAATGGATCATCAATGGCTTTCCATGCGTGCCTCATATATGGATTTTAATGTACGTATTCTATAACCTCAGCTTGCTGTAGAAATAGAAGTTTATGGCACAAGCAAATTTAAGTTAGAAGTTTGATAAGAAGGAAGGGTTGAAGAGCAAGAATAGAGAACTAGAAAAACTAATCGATCTTTCAATTAGATTGAAGATATCTCTGAATTGAGGACTAGTTTGAAAAAAATTATGCGAAGATTTACTCTGCTTGGAGTACTTTATTGGGTAACTGTCATGATCCCTTTTTAACATAGAAGTTATAGGGGGATCTATCATTGATTAAATTAAGTGTCTTAGAGGGGTACTTCATGTTTTTCTTAGCAGCTGACATTTACTTCCTAGCTTTAGATTGCTAGTTACCATCTATTAATGTAGGTCTATTTAAATTTCTTTAGAAACACTAGGGAAAAAAATAAAAATAAAAATCCAAATAAACTTTTTCACAAGCTCAAACTAGCTTATACTTAAGTTAAAAAAGGATTTGGGAGAAGTTAAAGGAGAGAACTTCTACAAATTAACTTATGTATAAGTTAATTTTAGCTATAGTGAAGTTTATTTTTCTTTTCTAGAAGTACTCACTTTACCCAAACAAATCCTTTGGTCTTGTTGGGATAATCTTCTTTAGAAGTATTTTTAAGAGAAAAAAATATGAAGGAAAATATTAGAGTTTTTTCACAAGGTAAAACTGTTTTATACATAATTTTAAAATTAAATTTTAGAGAAGCTAATAGGAGAGTTTTTACAAATTAGTATATGCACAAGCTAATTTTAGCTTATGAAGAACTCATTTCACATTTCTTTCCTAATTTTCTTTTTCCAAAGTACTTGTAGAAAAGTTTACCGTAATAGTAACAAATCCTGACCTCAAATTCAGTGCACTTGTTTTTTTTAGTATCATAATGAGAAGGTAACTCTTTCTGGATTCTAATCAGCAATAAAGAATGGAACATTGAAAGAAAGATAATTACAATAAAGAGACAGGAGAATTGGTAAAAGCTTAAATTTTTTATTTATTAAATGTTTCGACTATAAAACTTTTTGTAAACTAAAGCAATACTCCATAATTATGTTTTTAAGAAAGAAAATATTTGTTGAAAATTCAATGAGTGATTAGCCTCACATGGACTATGAAAGAGCTGAATGAGTAACATATAAGACTTTGGATGGTGATGTGTCTGGTTATTATATTAATCCTTGTCAATAGTTTGTTAACTATTCTAAGTGTTTATTTCCGAGATTCTCCTAGCTTGTTAACTACTATGGGTGCTGTTTTCCAAGAAGTGATATATTGGTGGGGGAGGGGGAAAGATTGTTAAAAGTTAAAGTTAAGTGATTAGTTTTTAGTTTGATTAAAAATGAGAGAGGAGAGAACAGAAAGAAATAACGCAAATAGTAAAGTGTTTTTTTGGTGTTGAAGAAATCGATTGTAAAATGTTTTTCATTGAAAAATAGGTTTTATTGATTTAAACGATTAAATAAGAGAAAAAAATTTATTGTTATTTTATATTTAATCGATTAAATTAAAATGCTAATTAATTACTTAATACAAATTACTTTTTATGATTCTTAAACAAATTATTTTACTTTCACTTTATTTCTCGTCTATTTTTACTCTCAATACTTAACAAAAACGTTAGTTTTTGGCATAATTACGCACGAACAAGTGGCATATTAATAAATTTGCGAAGTCTGCAAAGGTGATATGCGACCATAACTGACAACACTGAAGCACGGAGGCAATTGATAATTAAAAAAAAAAAATCATGGAACGAATTATTGCCACATTATGAAAACCATAAGAATTTAGTGACATTCCCAAATTCAAACTATTCCGTTGTTTGGAAAACGAAATTCACATGCAATGGTAAAGGATACTCATTTTAGAGGGAAGGACATATCCATTTAAGCAAAAAATTATTGTATTCTAAATCATCCATCATTTTACAATATCATGAAAATATTTATTACCTTTTCTAGCTTTTCCCTTCTTCCTCTAAACTAGTAGCATAGTTCTTTAATAACTGTTTAGAGTTTAAGATTTTCTTAATCCTTATACAAAAATCTAAAATGACACATTCCAAAAGGAGTAGTAATAAACTTAAGTGAAATCAATATCACAACCATGCATGTATGATCATAATCAAGATTAGTCTTTCTCACCTCATCAGCTCAGTGTGTAACCTAGTGCACTCGTTTAACAGACTCATCAAAAACATAAACAAACCATACAAAGGTGATATTAATAAAAATTGTATATTATAACACAGCCAATATCACCACTCCACTCCAAGAAAAAATTAAACATGGAGAAAAAAGGTCATAAAGGAGGAACACATGCATAAGCTTGATGGTCAAACATGTGACCACCCCCTTTGCAAATCCTACAATTTCTATACAGCTGAATCACACCAATGGCATTACTCAACAACGAAAGCCTTATCCCAGACCAATGGCATTACACAAACATAGAAAAAAAAAATGCCTGCAAGTTATCTAAGAGTTGCCTAAAGCATCAGTAGAAATTGTCAACACAGGATAAGTCACCTTGGCAGGCACAGAATGAAACATGCATATACATTATACAAATCATTTGAATTGAGATGCTCTTCACTAACTAAACTCAACCCCCTCCAAACTGAGGTGAAACAGTAATTAGCACAAGTTAACTTCACCTCAGGTATTATGGAGTGGATTTGATGCCAGTCATTGCATGCATGTGCCAGACTTGCTCCCAACGGCATCCAAACCAAGAAACTATAAGTAGATGGTTCATTGCAAACTACTAAGCCTACCAGTTGCTGGTATCTGGGTAGCTTGTGGGAAAGAATGATACACCATCATGTTGTTATCAACTGCGTTCGCACGGTTTGATCCAAAAGCCGAACCAGCGACATGAATATTTCCATCCTCGTTACATCCCTGTTTGCCTGCAGAGCAAAATTAAAGAGTGACTACCATAATGTACTAACTAGAGGAGCTAACAACACATTTTTCTCTATCAAGTGTTGCTAGCATTTCTCTATAAACTATGTCAAGTGTATTTGATTTTTCTCAACCTAAAAGTGCATTGAATGTCTCACCATGAGCATATATTACACAGCCTAATCCTAAAATGCCTATATACAAATTCCTACGTACACTATCTATACAAAAGCTACCACCAAGTTTAATATAGTTCATTCATAGCTGAAAATGCTCAAATATTAAAGGCCACTACAAATACTGTCTTATACTATAGGAAGTTCATTATACTTCTAACTCATGATCAGTTATTTTCCTTTCCAGGTGTATTACCTCAACAGCAAAGCGTGCCCAAATCTTGTCATTGCGAGCTTCCATGACCCCCTTTAAGATGGTTAAGCCTAAACCTCTGATTAAGTCAGCTATTTCCAGAAAGAAACCCCGTTCCTCACAAAGCATCTGCAAAAATAACCGAGCAACCAGATCAGATTAGCGGCAACACAAATACATACAAGGGATAAAAGAATTTTACAAAATTATAAAGCATCACTCATTACCTCTACTAGCATCTGACGAGGAGGATTAAGATCCTCAACAATAATAGGACAGACCATTGATTGTGAGCCAACCTCATATGCCCATGTAGCCCCTCCCTCAAAGTTATCTTTTAATAGCAATCCACCTTCTTTACTAACAATCTGCACATTCAAAAAAATTGAACAATCAGTATTTTTCCTCGCATTAATATAATATTTCCTTAAAGCAAAACATCATGTCAGCTATTCGTTTTTGCTGCTCATAAAAGATGTAGGCCAATATTTTCTGCATAAAGGGTTTATAGTAAATATCTGATCTGAGCTACCATATACACTTACTAGTGTACTTTCCAAAATATCGCCAAATATAATTCGTTATTCTTATTATTTTTCAACATATCAATACAACGCTGATGAAAATGAAAACATTTCCCATGTCATAACTAGATCAGTTGTCTGAGACACTGAGAAAAAGCAGTGGATGATGTCAATACCTTAGACTCCCCTGTCTGCTTCAGCTTGTCAGCATGCTTTGTCACACTTTGCAGGAAAAGCATGTGCTTGATAGTCTTTTCCAGAAGAGCATCTATGCTACACTGTTGAATTACAATGAGATAAAAGAAAATAAATCAGCACCCCGAATGTTATATTTAAACAAGCTCAGGATTGAGATACAAGAAAGCACAAAAAGGCTGTATACTTTTGCTCCGTTTGGCACAATTTCCCGTAACTCCTTCACACGATCTTGAATCATTTGGCGATCTTTGGGCCGAGGCCTAGGGTTCTCTCCAGGTTTAAGTCTTTTACGATTTGATTTGCAAACTTCATCTGGTCGCTTGGAGTATCCAGTTGAACCGCTACTTTCACGTTTCACATTACTGCCATTCTCAACCCATGAACTAAGCTTAGAGCCATATATGGAAGTAGTTTGAGAACAGTTTCCAGCATCATCCTTGCTACACCCTGACCTAAGAGAACTTGTTTCTGCAGCAGCTGTTTTAGTTCCGGTCTTGGGAAAATCAAACAATCCCCTTTGGACAACATGATCAGACATAACCTGCTTGCACGAAGGAGAGGGAACGGAGGCAGTACTAATCCTTGTCAACGTTGTCCTGCAAGACATTTCATCAGAATTCTGTTTTGCAGCAGATTGAGCTTTTGATACCACAGCATCTAAGAGGTGGTCAGTGCCCATTCCAGAGAAGATGCCACTGTCTGATATTGCTTCACTAACAGTGTAACTATTATCATGATCTACACCTTGCAAATTCATGCATGTTGCTTTTTTATCTAGATGTCCTGCATTGGCATCTGAATCAGTGGCAAGCAGCTTATCCAAGTTTCCATTGAGCAGTCTCCTTTTGAAATCCACACCTAAAACATCAAAGAGGTCATCACCAGATGGAAGTTGAGTATAGGCTTCCTCGTGCTTAACATTCATTTTCATATGTTGACTAGTAACATCTTTATTGAGGACAAAACCAGGGATGTGATCGCCCATAGGCACATGCTCCTCAAGATGAAGAGATGGAATCTTAAGGGCCTGAAGCATATCATCATCTATCCTTTGATCAGTTGAAGCCAAAGCATTACAAGCATTCTTTAAATCAATTGGAAGATTCTTCTGACCAGAGCCTTCTATATTCATGTGACTGGTAACAGATGGATTAGTGAAATTGGGCACAGAGCAAAGCCCAGCATTAGTTGTTGAATTGTTATTTTGAAGTCCAAACCCAACCCTGTGTGCTCCACGGAAATCAGAAGTGGATACTCTGGGAGGATTTGAAACTGAGCAGCTAATCATATTCGTCCTCAAAAGATTACTCCCACTGCATATTGGGATTCCTCCAAGTAGTGAAGTGCTACCAGAACTCTGACTCTGTTCAAGAATTTGGCCTCCATCAGTTTTCATTTGAGGCATATTTAAGGCACTCGATGGATTCATGTTAGGATTAACATGATTCTGTCTCCCAACACCTGATGTTTGTTGTTCCATATATTTAAGGCTACGTTCACTAAGATTTGATTGATTGAAAGCTAATTCGTTGAATGCAGATCTAGCATTATAAACAGAATGCTGCTGCAGACATGAATCAAAATTTGAAGGTATCACTTTAGCTTCAGCCTCCACAACTTTCTTCTGTTGGCCACAGACATTTGCTTTGATCATTGAATGAACCTTTGGCTGGCAAATGCTATCAAATATCTGGTTCGAGTCAATGGTTCGAGGTGTCAATACAGAACCGTGGAAATTATTTATTTCTCCCCTTAGAGGGTGAGGTGGCTGAGCAATGGACCTTGAAGCAAGAGTAGAATTAGTTAGTTGGTTGGAACCATTAGCTGCTGAGGGAGTGCAGTTTGAAGTAATGACCGGTGGATCAAAGGTCATAGGTCCAGCAAATTTTTCATTAGAAACTTTTGCTGAATAATCTTCAGATAAAAGGGCGCCAGGTACACTTCCCAATTGCAAGATCAAGTTCTTCACATCATTCACAAATCCCATATCTTCCATTATCTGCAGCAATAAGAATGATCAAGTTCAAGAGAGAGTGATTCATTATAGTGTTCTAACTGAGTTAAAGAGCTCTTATGCCATTCTCTCGATTTTTAAGGATGGACACATCTATGCCATTAATCATGAGATCCATGATGTTATATGACTTTTAAGTTGTCCAAAAGCATTCATTATTGATCCAAAGGTAATATGGAGAAATCCTATGACTTCTCACCATAATCCCATAATCCCATTCTCCATTACACGTGATCTTAAGTTTCTTAAAAAGAGGAGTGTTAGCAACACACTCTTCTTAACACACCCACTCTTATTAGTTAGAATTTATTGAAATCTACAAAATCTGGAGAGAGTCAAATAGGGTATGGAACCCATCAAATCTTGTATTTTCCAACAAATTTCAGCCAATTAGAAAGAGTG